ACATTAAATCATTCAAATTTAGCAGAATTTGCTGACAGTGAGAATCATTACGATGTACCAGTAAATCTGCAGACACCAGTCCTACCAGTGCTTCCCAAAGTGACAGCATTTCTGCAGCCATAGCAGATAAGCAAACTTCCCAGATTATATTCTGCTCAAGAGTTTTATGGGGAAAATTCAGCTCTGAGAATCACAAATAAGAATAAGAGCTTGTCTCGGAGAGTGAACAACCTAACTGAAGGAAGATCCATTCTGTAGCTACTAGAGTGAGAACTGTTTACAGTTGTACTCTTCTTAGCAAGATTCCAGCAATGGAACATGAGTAAAATACCTTCTGTCCTAGTACCGGCTGTCCAAGGAGAACTGTTTTTACATTACTTATTTGAGCATTAAGGTTTCAGCCAGGCTTGAAGAGCACTTCCAGAGAAGCTAACCGCTCACAGCTATAAGTTTTCATGTGAGGGAATAACTTGTTTGGCCAGCTTGAAAATAAGCTTAGCTCTACAGAACAGTTCCCGTAGCCCACAGTAACTGGATCTTCATCAATACCTACCTGTAGCTGTCTACAGCCAAAATCCTGAATTGACACTGCCAGGTATAGCTGTATGGTGTACAATACTGGAACTAATCCTAAAAATATACTTTATTGCAGTGCAATGTGCTTTAAATCGCCCAGCCTTTTTTGCAGAAAGACTTTACTATTCTATGAAAGGAGCTGGCACAGATGATTCTACCCTCATCAGAATTATAGTCACTCGCAGCGAGGTAAGAAACCTTCTCCTCTGTGAACGTCACACCTAGCGGAAGGCTCTCTACCCTAACCAGCTTCTCACTTAGCCCTTCTTTCACAGCTGTAGAAATCATGTAGGGCAATGAAGCTTTGACGGGGTTCAGATTTAGACAAATGCGTTAATTTGGTTTAAAGCCAGCTTTTTTTTTAGTCATGTACTTATCTCTGGCTAGAGGGTAGCACTGCGTGTCTTCCTTCTTAACCGTGGCTGCTTGTCCACACAGCAGATAAGCACCTCAGGTTCAAAGGTTCAGCTGAGCTGGGGTACTACTGGCCTAACAAAGCAAGGAACAACCACCAGACTCTGCTCTGGGAGCTGCTCCTCTGTCCCCAGAGGGACCGGCTGAGGGACCTTGTAGGACGCGCAGAGTTCATGGACTGCACGTTTCACCCTTGGCGTGCGTGCTGTCCTCTGCGAGGGAGGAGGTGCGGGGTGACTGTCTAGGGGTTAAAATCGTACACTGCGTGTTTACGTTTTGTGCTGCTTTTTTTTTTTTTCTTTGCACAGATTGACCTTGTGCAAATTAAACAGATGTTCACGCAAATGTATCAGAAGACTTTGGCTACAATGATAGCGAGTGACACAAGCGGTGATTACAGGCGTTTGCTGCTGGCAATTGTTGGTCAATAGAAGATTACCCGTTTTTTTGTTTTCTTTTTTAAAAACAAACTGAAGGACATGTAACATGCTTTATGCACACACTGACTATCCTTGCGTGTAAAAGAATAATTTTAAACTTTGTATAATCAAATATGCCTTCGTGATGATCCAGTCAGCTTGTTGCACTTCTAATTGCCTTAATTTACAGCACATAATAGTCTTTATTGTATAATAAAATATATATCTTGTCTATTAGCCCCTAAGTCGTAGTCCTTTTGACCCAGATAAACCCACCTCCCCTCTGCCAGACTCCTGCAAGATTAAACTGTTTGTCTCAGCCGAATCTCCAGCACTCAACAAGTTTCTTGAAATACCTAAACTTAACTGCTGAGCTAACTGCGGATGACAAAAAAACGCCTGAGCCTGTGACGTAAAGCATTTCACTCTCCCCTCCCCCCTTTAATGTCTTTCCATCGTGATGTGGAAAAACATGCAGGTGCTCAGTTTAAGTCACATTACGCTGACAGTTTAAGGACCTTGGCAGAATCTGACTGTAGTCCCCTATTTAATTTCTCAAATTATTTACCGTTAGTGGTCTGTTACCATTGTGCTTAAGGCAGCAACGCAAAGGAGAAACCATCTCGGACCTAATTGTGAAGCATCACCTTGTAAAGGAGCGGGCTATACAGCAAACTCTAACGCTACAGAACACGTGTAAATCCAAACTGAAAGCGACTGTGGCCTAGACAATATAAGTGACTGTGTGGATGTTTTCAGTGGATTTAAAAAGAAGAGCTTTGAATAGCACATGTGGCTTTTTAGGAAGCCACAGTCGATCTGTTGGCAGCCGTAAACTTAACAGAAGCTTCAAGTCCAGGATGTGCTTCCCAACATCTCTAAGCAACGCTTCACCAAATAACAACTGTATTATAGGACACCCTCACACAAACGGCAAACCCATACAGCAAACCTTTCACTCTTGCAGAGCATGTATGTAAAACATATTGCAAAACAGTAACAGATACCAAGTTTACCATACCGAAACAGCTTCAGTATTTCACTTACCTCAATGTTCTGCAGCCTACATCTGACTTTAAACTTTTTCTGATACTAAACTGTGAAATACAGTTCAGTTTAAAATTCCTGGGTCGGAGTAAAATGAATTATTTCAAATACAAACAACAGATGGAAACTGATTTGGGGAGACTTAGACATTCCACTCTGCATTACTGTGGTCATCCTTGGTACAAGTATCCACTGAGAGAGACCTATCAATAGCTTTCCAAGCTTGACCAAGATTCTCATAAGCTTTGGCTCTTGTTTGTTTGCTCTTGAGCAAACTTCCTTACAAATAAAGCATTTAATACTTAAAGCGTATCAGTGCATCTGTATCTTTTCACGTGACTAAAAAACTCCCCGCCATTTCAGCTGTCATTCAAAGCAGAATATCGATTAAGTCTGGCTCATACATACTACTACTACTACTACAAGAAAAAGAACAGAGCGTAGGGTTCCGTGTCCTAATAGCATTCACCTGTTCTGCGGCAAAAAGTGATTTGCGTGACATACTAGTAACAAAGAATTGTTAAATGGGTAACAAGAACAGAGTGACCGATAGTGACATTGGAGCAAAAAATAGGCAAGGAAAGAACGAACAAGCTACCATTTGTCCTGCCTCTGAAAAAGCTTTGTTTTTCTATGTAACAAATGTAATGGCGTTTCAAGGTTAAACATTAGAAAAAATAAAGCTGTTTATGAGACCATTCCTCTCAAAAAGTGTTCAGACTCAAATTGGAAGGGACTCTCAGAGAAAACCAGCCCCAGTCCCAGCCATTTGTCTTTTTTGCTAGCGAGGCCGATCTTCGTAATTCAACAGATACGACTGCAGCAATTTTTCCATTTCACAACTGGGATTTACTAAGCTTTGAAAGGAAAGCTGTTGTTTATCACTATCAATAATTTTGGGTGGTGAAGCTGTGTGTTTGCCCTGAGACTAAACACAGGTGGGCTCTGGGAACTCGGCCGGTCTTCCCTGTTTGGCCCACCAGGTCGCAGCAAGTTTCCCGACAGCACAAGCCCCTGCTTTACTATCAGCCCCCAAACACCTTGCTCGAGCACATTCCATGCTTCTGCTCCTCAGTTTGACCGAAATGCATTTACACTTCTCAGAACAGTCAGAACCCCAGCCTGCCTCTGCACACTCCTCTCCCCGCGGAGCAGAGCACCACAGAGGACAGCGTGATCCCAGCAGTGCGGGAAGCAGTGCCCCACGCCCCAGGGTGGCTCATGCCCCGGGACCCCCAGGGCAGGGCAGGGAAGCTCCAACTCAGACCAGGAACTGACCACGCCTCTCACAGCTTTTGCTCCGTGTCCTTCAGCTGGTGGAGTGATTTCCAGCCTTCTCCCCTCCCTACCCAAGAACAGCCTAAGGACACACAGATTTCCACCCCCCCTTCCCCCCAAACACTGAAAGCAAAAAACAAGCAATGCAGACTACTTACAGTTTTCTGGGAGGGAGGACGTAATTTCTTCTCCCCCACAATGCAAGTATTAGAGACAGCTCCAGACTCCACCTTTCAGAAACAGAGCAGTAAAAAATAAGTGCCTACTTTCCAAACACAGAGAACCCACAGACATAATCCTGTTACCTGACTACCTGCTTAAAGGGTGACAGGAGACACGCAGCACGAGAAGAGAAATCGGGCCAACACCAGCTGCCCAAGAAATTTTGCTTTATTGCAGAGCTGCCTTTGTTATCTGGCAAAAACTACTGCAGACAACAGATACTGCAAGGGAATCCTTGAGGAAGCAAAACGGATACTGCAAGGGAATCCTGAAGGAAGGAATCATTGCAGCCAGGCACTCACTGCCATGCAAGTATCAGAGCCAGATCTCTCCAACTACAATGAGGCCTTTCCAGACAAAGACTGAATTGGTATTTTCTCCACATACACAACTCCCGCGAGTCAGAATGCTAATCACAACTAAGATCCGAGTATCAAATCATGAAAAATACCATCTCCTGAGGCTGAGAAATTTTCCACTAGCGCTTACAAGGAGGAAGGGACCATCATAACATTCACCACGTGCTTGTTCTGCTCTACTACGACACCATACACGGACTATGCAGCTCGCTAGTATGGGGGTGCTTGAGTTAAAAAAAAAAACCAAACCCAAACTTACCATTTTTTAACTTGATCTTCTGCACTCAACCTTTGAGAAGAGTTTCCAGTTAGAACGCATCTGCAATAAAGTAAAATCAAACATTAGAATTCCACCAGCAATTGTGTGTCTGTTATTTTTAGCGTGCTTATTATGTTTTTCTTCTAAATCTCATCCTGTTCAGCAGCTTGTCCTTCCTTTAGCAAGAATACACCCCAGAAAGACTACAGCAGGTACCTGTACTGACTGTCAAAACAGCGAGTCCTCCCCCTCTGCCCCAAGAGCAGCCCCAGAACAGATTATGGTCTTGGATGTTCTGTTCAAACCAACACACAAAACATCGCTATGCTTAACAGCCTTTCTAGGATCAACTAAGACTGCTCTTACAGGCTTGTGCAAACCAACACTGGACGTCCAGTTCAGCGGACAGAAAATCTCTGGGTATTTTATTTATGAGAGAGAACTCAAAAGCAAAAAAAGCAGCAGCAATAACAGTTAAATAAAATAGCATTTACATTAAATTAGTTCTCTGCAAGTTAAATCTGACCTTTTAGGCTGCTTTTTTCAATAGCTTCAATTTTGAAGAGTATTTCTAAACAATTTCCAAGGTCAGATTAGACCTACGTATGCCAAATAAAACCAATACACAATGATAGGAGCCGCAGCCCATGCACAAAATTTATTGTGTGCTACTGTTTATAAAATACTTGAATAGCTCAGAACATGCATAAAATTTCCAACTTAGGGGTATGTACAGATTGTACTTTATGGCAAACAAAAAAAAAGAAAGGGGGAGATGAACTCTAGTGACATAAGTTTCAAGTTGTGTTCCAGGGGATGAGAAGGACATGTAGCAAATGTCAAAATATATAACAAAGCACAGTGGCAATCAGTACAGTCCATTATTTGTGAACAAATTAGCACAGGGCTTCAATTTTTATTTTAACCAAGCAGTCCTGTAGATACCAAAATACATGCAGTCTCAAGTTTACACTTTCACTAATGCCTTAGCAGTTGAACAGAGCAATTGCTTACGCGCTGCTTTGCCTAAACAAAAAGTACGTCCGATACAGTTTCTGTTTCCTTTACAGATTTAAAAATAATAAAAAGCTTGCAGCTATTCAGCCCAGTGATTATTAGCTATTTATGCAACCGTAATACTCACAATAAACTAAAAGTACCCATAACATCTAGGTAACCTATAGATGTACATCATAGGTCTATATATTAAATATTTGCAAAATGAAAACATGCATACACAAAATACAATGCCAGGCTTTACAGACTTGATATGAATCAAAATTTACTTAAACAATGTACAAAGTTCAATTAAAAGTACCTTAAAATTAACACTTCCATATTTTTCTTACTTTTAAAATTAGTATATATAATAATCTTTTTAAAATTCAAGGTGGGGAAGAGTCTTGAAAAAGCTGGGCAAAAAAGTTTCTAAATTAAATATTTTTTTTAAATCTGTGTTCAAGTAATAAACATTCCTACATAGAAATCTTCCGATAAGCTGTAACTAAAAAATACAGTGAATACAATATAGAATTAGCAACATCTAAGGAGTAAACCTGAGGTCAGCATTTTACAGAATGACCAACTGAGATTTTTTTTTTTTTGGCATTTTTTCTGTCTATTTAAAATACAGTTTTTGCAGCCTCAGATAATTTTAAGACCATTCTAATCTATCGTTTTAAAGACATTTCATGAAACCGATGTCCATTAATAAATAGTTAGCTCTTAGGGTTGTATTTGAAAGTCTGATTTAAAAAAAAAACAAAACAAACAAACTACCTCTACCGAAAGAAAAATCCCATTTGTAAACTTAAAAGTGTTGACAACGATAAGCATAAGATGCTAGTCTAGAGGTGCTTTAGCGATAACAGCCCGATTCTTCCCCCAGATCTCTTCTGAAGCTTCAGCAGCCAGCGAGGGACTTTGTGTAAGCAGGTGAGGCACGCTCCCGGGGGGCCGGGCCACCACGTGAAGAGAGGGGCTGTTGTCTCAAAAGCATGACGGTCTGTCTGCAGCGGGATCACGTCGGACGGTTTTCCACCTCCTGGCAAGTAGTCACTTCAAGCGATCCCCCCAGCTATTTCATCTGTTGTCACATCAAAAAGCAGTGATCTAGGAATTCTCAGGCAAGACATGAGAGAGTAAACCAGAAAGAAGCTGACGTGGTCACTGTGCATTGTTGTTGCCAGTCCCATTGTTTCCATTGGCATTTGTTGTGTTTATAGTATTAATACCATCTTGCTGAAGAGCATCTTTTCTTGGTGGCATTCTCTCATTGATCCTATCCAAACCTTTTGCTTCTTCAAAACTGCAGATTTTATGTTGCGGAGAGAATCCTCGTATTGCTTAACAAAATGCAAATTTGATATGTCAGTAATGGAAACATAAGTTGAAAGCACATACTTTTTCTAACAAATGATGTTTAAAAACAGGTAAGAAATCAGCCAAAGAAACTTATGGCTCTGCATCTGTATTAGTAAAAGCTTCTCTAACCTGCTTTCCTGAAATGTGCAATGGCAATTGTGATTTCAGTTTGTAACAAAAAGAACAAAGTATGGCAAATATTCTGCACGTAGGAATCAAGGGGTTTAAGCCCACTTGATTGCTTCTGCGTGTCCCTGGCGTGGCCAGCTATCAACACCAGCTGCCTTTGCTGCCTGGGGCGTCAGGCTTATCTTAACATCCCCCTTCTCTTGGGTGGAATGTCAGTAAGATCTAAGCAGCGCAGCAAGGGCAGTGGAGGCAAAGCAGCAGAGGGTTACAAAAGTAATAGTAGATTTACATCCTGCACACGCATCGACGGCCCGATCCCGCAGTTTCCATGCAGGCCAAACTGTGGGATGTGGTTCATGTTCTGTGCTAATCATGTGGGTGATGGAAACGGACACAACCACAAGTTAGCACCGTGGTTAAACAATGGTATCATTTAAATACAAATGTATTTAAAGTAAGTACAGAAAATAGGTATTATTCCGCTACTGATCATTTTAATGAATGAGGTCTGTAGCTGAATTTAGACTTGAAAATGGTTGACCACATAGTAAGACTGCAGTCTTTGGGATGAAATAATTCTTTGGAGATTTAAGTACAGCTTTCCACTCACAACAACGGGACCTCTTGCACGTGTGTGTGAGAACAGAATATGGCACTTGTTTATATTTTTGGAGATCTGACTTCCTTAATTAAAAAACAAAGAATACAGTCGTTAAATGGTGCTTTGCGACCAAATCTGAAAAACCCCAAAGGCAGCGCTCTCGGCTGCTATGCTGCTTGTCATTCACTTCATCGAATATTGAGCAAGAGGAAATTAAAGTATCTCTGAAAAGGCAACGGTCTGATGTTGAATACTCTGAACACCAAATAATTTGATGGCATTTTGCTCAATACCACTAGAAAAGGACGTATATACAACTTATTTAGCACAGAAGCACTGATAATCCATGGAATTTAAATATGCCTCGTACTGGCAGGATGGTGTATATACTGGAAATAAATTTGGTCAACAAATTATGCTCAGCATCTACTGAAAAAACATCACATTTATACGTCTTGCGCTACCAGATGTGTTACGGAAAGTTTTAAAAAAATATGTTCAAAGCCATTAAAATAGATTTTATGAGAAAAGGCATGCATCAACAACCCACCTTCCACATATAACCCCCCCGCAACCAAACAAAACCTTGCAGTTGAATGCAGAAAAACCCCACTAAACACTACCACTTTTAAGGACTTCAAGACAACACCACGTATCACAACATGCTATTATACAAAAACCTACTGCATATTTTGTAAAAACAAACAAAAAAAAGACCAAAAACCCCCAAGAATTTCCCTAAAATATTAAAGATAATCATCATCCTAAAGCCAGAAATGAATGCTACATGTAAAAGGGATGAATCAATGCAGTTGATTCATCTCTGCTTGTGCACGTCGAAAGTAAAACACACCCACACAGAGTACTTTTGAATTCCCTCCCAGACACCACAGATCTCTGCCAAGGGCAAAGACTCTGATCATACCTTTTTCAGCCTCAATTGCCTCTACAGTGGCTGTACAGAAGTGAGCAGATGCATGCAAAATGAATGAGAAAGATGAAGAGTGTAATATCGCATAGCAGAAAAGGCAATGATCAATTTAATATAGTATGCTACGCCAGATTAGATTACAATTAGTTAAAATGATCATTAAGGTTTTGGGGGGTTGTTTTTAAGTGAAAATTCTCCTAAATTTTAACTAATACAATTTATCAACTAAAAATATATCAAACCAACGCTAATTAACTCATGTTAACTGCACATTTCTGTAAGTTTGTTTTGGTTTGGTTTGGGTTTTTTTTAAGACAGCAACAGAAAATTCCACCTGATGTTAAAGTTGTGGTATGGTTTAAGAAAAAAACTAAAAAACTGTTTGAGACTATTTCTGAAGATTAAAATGCATTAGTGAGCTTCATTAAATTACGAAAGGATGCTATAAAAATAACACTAACAGTGTTCTAATAATAATAACAACTTATTTTTCTCTTTATGTTTAGCTCCCTGAAGTTTAACTAGTACTTCAATTTCTCACTGTATTTTAAGCTAAAATGGGTATCTCTGAGAACTGAACTCTGAAATTTAAACCATAAAAGACAAATCTAGCAAGTCATTTACAGTTAAATTGTTTAGTTGAATCAACAACAAAGTCAACAGCAGGAAGAGGCCTGGATTTAACATAGTCTTGGTGGGTGACTTCATGTGAATACGAGAAAAAATTTAGCTTACTAGTTGGTTTTTGAACTAAGTAACCATGTCATCTGCTGTAATTTCTTAGCTGTCAGATCCTTCCCAATTGTTTTAGCTCTAGAAGTCAAAGCTTTAACATAAGGTTATCAGGATATCAAAATCAAAATAACCTATTAGGGCAGACTTGCTAAAGAAACCACTTTGTAACTACGACCCAAGCAGCAGCTAAGTTTCAATAACGGTAACAACTTTTTACCTCCCCTACTATGTGCCATAATTCTAATACCATAATTTCAGAAATATTAACGACAAATAGCATAGACAGTGGTAAGCCTACTTGTGTAGTTCGTGATACATATTGTTAACAACAAAAATCAAAAAAGGGTATGCTGGAGAAACTAACTACATAAGAAAATACGGTATTAGATCAGAATAGAATTCTCTAAAGTCAATTCAGTTTATTACTTCTCATTTCCTATCCCACAAAAAGCAGACATGACATTTCAATTGCCTACACTATGCCTACACTATGTTGTTACGTATCAGTTGCCTACACTATGCCTTAACCTCACTGTGGCATAAAATTATAATTTCCACTGAGATAACCTAAAAATATAAATAAAATTAGATACTTGCATTAATTGCTACTAAAACAATGTGGTAATGCAGCATTTTCCCTTTTACATACTGCACATTCCACGGTACCAAAAATACCAAAAAATCCTGCACTTAAATCTACTGAGACAAGGGCAATCCCAGAATTAAATCAAAAATCCACTTGAATGGATGCTTATTTATGTTTATGTTAAGGGAAAGAAACTTTCTCATATTGTAAAAATAAACCAGTTTAAGAATTATTTTAGAAAGTCACCAAATACATACTTTCATACTATAACCAATTTGCCATACAAATACAAAACTATATTAAAAAACCACCTCTTTTCCACCATTTCCTGTTACCTGTGAAGTCTTTGTTTTCAATCTTTTCCTGAAAAGATCATGAATACTGATTTATCTCTGTAAATTATGTAGCTTGGTCATAAATACAAGTTTCAAAATTTACTCCTAGTTCATTCTACTTGCAGTACTATTATTCCAAAAAGATCTTGGAATATACATCACAGTTAAGGAAAAGATAATTTTCAACATGACATAAAAGAACAAACTGACTGGAAAATACAAGCACTTAAAAAACCACACTGTAGAGACTCAATTTGGAAAAGAATTTTGTTGGATTCTCTTTTGCAGGTACATCTAAATTAAAGCTATATTCTTTGTAAACTCCGATAAACTTCAAATAAATACTGTATCATCCTAACATAACAGGTAATCCTGAAGTCTTTGCTCAGAAAATTCTCAACTTGAGCGCAAATTTTAAGCAACAGGGTTCAATGGCATTTCCATCCTCAATTCCAACCTAACCCCTGCTTTACTTAGGGGGCGGATCTGATACAAAATCCTTGCCAATTTTCAACAAAAAGCCAAAAAACTATCTTCCTGCCCTTCCCACTAATAGCAAGGGCAGCAATGAAAGATAAGAAGTATTTGGCGAGTTCAACTGATTCCCATGGACATACTTACAATTTTTAATTTAGGCTTGTGTTTGGTGTGTTGCTGAATAAGGCTTCAGGTGTTTGGTTTTTTTTTTTAACAGATGTTGACTCAATTTGGAAAATAATTTTGTTGGATTCAGTTCACAGAATATTCAGTTGACACAGTAAGTCACTAGGAAATGCCACTTTAAAGAACAGTACTTAATAGGGTCAGTCTTTAACATTTCAGCTACTATAATGCAAGCAACGTAAATAATAAACCCCATAAATCTACATTTAAAAAAATTTAGAAACGTACAAAGGCCACGATTTCCCAAAGTCTATTTTTATCCTAGTACATTAAAGCTACCTAAAAATAACCTATGATTCGTTTTTCAAAAATATATCCATATATTTCTGGGGGGAACAAAATCATATATTGACTTCCTCCATTGGATGTAGTTTTGCACTTTTTTCCCCAAAATTATCATTTTTAACTGACTTGTCTTTGTTTAACCCTTTCACTACAGTTAGAATCTCTATTTCACCCTCAGACTGCTCTGTTCTGCGGTCAGAATCTGTTCAAGCACTGCCCATAACGCATTTGCGTTATACTGACTGAGGCGTTTGGTGCCCTACTCTGCATTATGTCAATGCCAACAGGCGTCTCCCCTCCGAGAACGGCTGGTATCTCACAAAAGACAGCAGGTATGGCTAAACAAATTCCTGAAAGAGTAGTGGTATTTGCTAAGAACTAGTATGGGATAGGTTACTGACATTAAGAATTATAATAGGCATATATGCAAAAATTGCATATGCATTGCATTAATGGTGACTTACATATATATGGCTATATATATACTTGGCCTGATAAAAAAATTTCAGCCCAGCTCTCTAGAGAAGTGTAGATATACGCTCCAATTTCTTCTAGCTTTCAAAGCTTCTTACAGATTAAATAGCAAACAGCACAACTAGACCTTTTCTCAACGCGCCATGGAAAAACGAGCACTTGTAAGGCTGAAACCTGGAAAACCCATGACATATTGGTCAATTTTGTGAATTTTCAAGCAAGCGAAAGAATAGAATAAAAAAAACCTCCTAACTCCTACAATTAATATTATTTTGTTTTCTCAAATCTAGACTAGTATATTGATCAACATAGTACAATACACTTCAAAAAGTAATTAAATATTTGTAGTAGGAAATCCTACTATACTACCAGTGACCATATTTTTGCCAAGATATGAATTCACTGATACTATGATTGTTTAGAAAAGTGTCAATTAGTGAAGTTTTATTTTATTTTTGGTTTACTTCTAGCTTCACAATTGAGCGTAATAATTTGAAAACCTCTACAAGGCCAGGTTGGACCGGGCTCTGAGCAACCTGATCTAGTTAGTGGTGTCCCTGCTCACTGTAGGGGGGTTGGGCTAGATGACCTCTAGGGGTCCCTTCCAACCCAAAACATTCTATGATTCTATGATACTTTTTTAAGAATGAATCAATAAAATTCTTATCAGTAAAAAGGAGTTACTGCAATTTAAGGAGGACTAACAGTTGGCATGAGTTATTTTGAACATCAGCATGACTGAAACAAATGAGGTAAATTAATGTAGTGCATCAAGGAATATTGCCATCAAAAGTTCTAGTCAAGAAAAAAAACACACCCACAAAAATCCAAAACGCATTTTCAATACTCTCCAAATGTCTCACATTTTTGGTAATGGTAGAAAGTCATATGTTTGTTTTATGTTAAAAAAATTTTCTAGTCAGTTTGATCCTCTCTGATATTTATAATGCAACATGGATAAAAATCTGTTAAATGAGTGAGAGGAATGCAGACTCATTTTTTTAAGCATAATAAAGTATCTTATTAAACAATGAAAATTAGAACTAGAACATATGCTTTTGGAATAGTAGGATGGATTAAGAAACATACACCATTTCTTGTTATAGACATTCACAAAACAATCACATACATACACTGGACATATAAACTTACTTGTAGACATTATATGTCCACTGAAAAATGACTGAAAATGTGACATTCATGTTTCAAAGCTATTAAAAAGCAGCTTTGATAGTTTAATAGAAAATGTGGTGAAAGGCTTTAAAAAAAATACAAAGAAAATTTAAAAAATTCAAATAAGCAGCCTAAATCACAAAACGAGAAAAGCAGCTACTCTTGGAAAACAGATTGTGTAAAAAGTGGTATTCATATATCACAATCTTTCAATAGTTATAAAATTCAGTGGTCCCATATGACAGCTTTATACTTTCTGAAGATGGCCAATAAAAAGTCTTTGAATAGTTTACGTTAAGAGTGCTGCTGATATGAAGTCCAGTTTCAGACTGGTATATTTTAATTATCCACCATTTTGAACAGAAACCTGGACTTCATTCTTTTAATACATTTGGTACAACCTCGTAGCATTCTCCCTAAGCCTAGTTAATCATTTATGGGCCTTGTGAAAAATATGATCCAATGATTCAACAAACTAAAAAAAGAAGAAAAACCTTTTACAAAATATTCAATGAGCCAGATTACAGGTATATTTTGTATAGAGTTCTTTTTATTTTCATGCAAAAAAAATATATGCACACTTAATAACACCCTTTTATTTTGATTTATTTACAAGTTTTAAATTCAATCCCTTTATTCTCAACTGATTTTATAACAATTACTGAATATTTTTCAAGTACATTATTGTTCAAAATGCACAGACAATGTGCAGCAGCAAATGCAGCAAACCTCAAAAACAAGGTGCTACAACATTGCTTCTACATCAAGAGACAGACAAGTGTCTGGGATAGTGGTTTAATTTTAACACTTATACAGACATACATCTATACCTAGAGAGAGACAGACAGATCTAAGAAAGCAGCTACATCTGCAGAGGAAGGAAACAGCATGTTACAAGGACAATTCAGGGAGGTCAATTATACATAGAACATTTGACAAACAACATAGAGAACAAACTTTGGCATTGATTACCAGGGTACAAAACGTAGCACATTTCAATCTATCAATGGAGCGGAATATGGAACTCTGCAGCCTGGAGCTGTTTGTTAATACCAATATCAACAAGTATTTGACGCTGTCAACTCAAATACTAACATCTATAATAAAACCATTTTAACGGAAAGCAGACAAGTAACGATGCAAAATTACATTGCCATTTTTGTATCTGTAATGATCAAATGCCTCAGTACCAGATCTATAAGGGCACCCCACTTCAGGCATCTGTGCCACCTGAAAAATTGTAAACTAAGGGAAGTTCAAGGTCTGAAAAATTTGGCCTGACACCACTGAACTCATTTGCTTTTAGTTTTATACCCTGGTTAAGTATCCATTTCACATTGCCTGATTAACACATAACACTATGCTTGTATCAGCCGCTAAGACAAGAACTGAAAAGCATAAGAAATTCCCTGCATGCATTATGTGTAGTGTTAGCAAAAGAGTGAGATGTGCCCCAGTCCATCTGAGGCACAGCAAGTTGCATAACATCATTACCACTTTGCAGGGTCTGTCGTCCTCCAGCCAACACTCCACTAGGTAACATTCCAGTGGGAGTCAAACCCTTGAGTGTCAGCACACTTTCACTCTCCTCCCTGGTGTGAGAAAAAAACAGTAACAAAACCTTAAATATCCACTCATGAAAACTAGCACTGAAGTAAAATAAGGGATGGGGAGAGCCTATTTTTGCTGTGTTTTATGCATGTCAAGACAGAATGTGAATTCAAATTCAAACAACAAACAGGAAAATATTTCTATTCCGTACCAGTCTTTCCTCTGCCTAGGAGTTAAAAACACTGATTACTTCTGAACCAAATCCTGAGCAATTATTCACATGCAGGCTCACTAGCTTTGAAATTAGCAATGACTGCCTCATGAGGTACTGAATATATCTCAGTACCATAACACAATCACAACTTTGTTTGAAGTGTCTCTGCTTCAGGAAATACCAACTTTAAAAAATTATCCCTATTTGAACAATCATGGTTGAGGAAAACTATACATATTGGGTAAATGTGATCGTGAAATCTCTAGATCTGGACAGGTACAAGAAAACTGTATTTTTTAAAAGCTGAAAAGAAACAAACAAAAACCTGAAACAAAAACCCCGTAGTCTTCAACTTTCTGATATGCCAGAAATTTTCTGAGCCAGCCCTGATCTGCTCCATTACAGCCCTGATTTCAATCTCTCTATTTTGGCATTGTCTTTCCAACACTCATAATGAATGGCCGGACAAATAACTTGTAAACTAAACATCATGTTCTCTAATTTCTTGAAATACGTCTCAAAAATAACTTTAAAACATTCTTTAATCAAACATACCAACATCAATGAGGTGCATCAATATGCCAAACAAGATTCTGATGCATAAAATGATCTCCCTGAAAAATGTCTGGCATCCATTATCCTGGAACAGAGATGTTTTCCTAATATAGATAATAAGAGAGGTTTTAGGAATGCAGAATTCATGCAAGTACCTGAGAACAGAGAAGACTCTTGCCATCTTGCCAATTGCACGAATTTTGTTTCTGATTATTTCTTTCCGTGCGGCAGCTGTACCTACTTTCAATGGAATAAGAGAGAGTCTCAAGTTCATGAGTATTTACAGGGTCACCATTTTAAAGTGCATCAAATTCAACACAACTTTTTAAGTTCAGTACTCTTCACAGGAGGCCAGTAGCCAAATGCTTAAGGGCAAAAAGTTGTAAAATCATGGCTTCAGAATGCCATCAAAACCACCATCACCTCTGTGTCCACAAAACACACACAAAAAAATCTAGGATGTTCACAGCGATTTCCTAAAGCTAGCAAGCATCTAAATTACCGCCACCACAGTGCAGTAATTATCATAACTCATTTGCCTAAATTTTACACTTAAAATTCTTCACTGACATCGGTATATATCAAGATGTAGGCATGCAGCCCAATATAGAAGCCAAAGAGAGATTAAAGGCACAAAAAATAAAGATTTGCTGCTAATTCTTACACAGCTGTCCAACAGAAAACAGTAGTTTGTTTGCTTGTTTTCATGTCAACTCCCCAAAACACCCCGCCAACAAAAAACCCCAGAAAATAAAATGCCAAAAAAGAATTGCGGTGTCACCTCCCTTACCACCCAAGTCTATGTTCTGTATCATCTTAGGTTTGCATCATTTGCAGAAATTACAACTACCAAAGATCTGGAGTAAATACTGCATATTCCACAGAGCAGAGAGATACCGTTTGACAGATGAAAGTGAAGACAGAACTTTGAAAGGAGGCTTGCGATTGGGAAGGAGATGAGCCTTTGCCTGCCTTGACATTATAAAAACAGAAGCTGCTTTCTCCGACACTAGGTGTTGCTGGTTTGTTTCAATGTATAAAAGTCATCCTTGCCCTCATCCTCCTTTCCTTTTGCCGACTCCTCAATTCCACTGAAACAGTACAGTAGATGAGGAGATACCAAAACTAAAATCCTTACTTTTCCTCAGCCTTTGGGGAAGGAGAGTATTAATCACACCATGAGCAACTCATACTTTGAATTCAACCACTGGGGACCAAAAGTGAACAAACTCAGACAGCTCTGTTAGGTATTCCAGATCTTCCATATATCATTGTTCTTCAACCCTGGGAGAAAGGTACTCTTTATTATAAAGATGCCAAACTAATTTGCAAGAATGTAGAAGAGAGGATCACAGAAGCGGGCAGAGGAAAGCTGCATATCCACAAACTTGTCTACTCGCATTCCAAAGAGACAGCCATGGAAGAAGCCTTTTCTCAGCCCTGCTCACTCGTATTTAGCTTCCACATGAGAGTACATACACTCTAGCACAACAGAGTCACCCTTTTCAGACTACGGCTGCACGAACGCACGGCCTTCTGTTGCACGAGAGTGGGTAGACTTCCCACCCAAACACCAAAGCGAGTAAAATACAAAAGGTAAGGCATATAGGGGCAAACAACAACAAAATCACACAAGAAGGAAAATGCATAGTAGCGACAAAGAAAAAAGGGAGCAAGAGACAACCTTTGCATGAACACAACGGAAGAATCTCAGGGTATGACAAACATCTGCCAATCCATTTAAACGAAATGAAAATGCCAGGAACTACTGAGTAAAGATTTTTAGACAAAGGAACAACTTTAATGAACTGCAGACACCAAATTAAAAAAACCAAAACCAGAAGGTTCATGAAAAACTTTGAATAGGATAGGCTGAAGCATTCATGTTTTACTGAAAATAATTTTTTTAAATGTTAACTTTTAATTTTTAAAATTCTCCAAGTTTTTACTTTCTCTCTTTGAACACTGCTAAATAACAGCTGGAGGATCTACAATGAGAAGGGGGATCTTTCAGAGTTTTTGAAAAGGCTAGGGCTAAATGATGGACCATCAATCTTTTCTACAAGTCCCTCAATTTTTGTCCTACCTACACCTAACAGAGGGCTACACTGCTGCAGAGCTGTAACACACAGGCTGAAACATTTCAGGCAGCGCTAGTGCCTGTATCTCAGCTCTGGAAGGTTCCTGTTCCTTAAAAGGAGAAAGGTTGGCTTTGAGTAGCTTTTGTGTTTGTTTGGTTTTTAGTTTTTATTTTAACATGATCTTTCATTGCCCCAGCCCTCCAGAAGCAACACAGCGAAGCCAAAAGGCCAAACGTACTACTCCATGCTGCAGCACTGCGCTGATGTGGCCACAGAATCCTGGTTAGTTCAGAGAAGAGATGGTACAGTGGCACCTGCTTGCAGAAGAACGTCTTGATTACACCCTAAATTAGAGGTCATATGACAAAGAATTCTTCCATTCTCCAGTCCCAGCGACTGCACAAGAAACAAATTCTGAAACACTCATACTACTATGTTCCAAAGAATTCACATAACCTTTGGAAACACCTGTATAATCTAATGCATTCCCAAGTATTAGAAATATTCTCTGGAAGTGACAACTTTATATGGAGAGTAAATTGATTATTGGGTAAGTAATGGTCAGTAGAATTATTCTGCACAGAATTATCTACCCTGGAATTTCCAAAAAACAGATGATAGATCATGAAATTTAAGTTAGTAGGCTTCTTTTTACATTTTGTATCCAGCCATCTTCAAAACTGCACGTACAATCAAAAAGTACCTTTTTGACATCTCAGTTGAAGGCAACTAAAAGTACAATACAAACCAGGTTTTGGAACATTGTATAAACACATTCCATGCACAATCTTAAAAAAAGCTCACAATAAAATTATTAAAGAGCAAGACAGACAACTGAACGCTCCCTACACATGCAGGACCAAAGATAAAATTTTAGAAATAGGTAAAAGAATGAAATTCTACAGAAAAGAAAAGGAATGGAAGAAAGGAGGAAAAAAATTCATGCACAGAAAGACAGATGTCTTGGAATATGACTTCCGATAACAAAATACACAAGCCTTTATAAACATCCCATTAAAACGGGTAATAATAATAAAATGCTATATATGTCTCTCAATGGAAAGGTATTTTCTGCATTAATACTTATACTGCCAGATTCTATGAAGTCATATTTCAAAACATTCCTACTCTGTCTGGTCTGTACCTTTTTTATTGCCATATATGAGTCGCTCTTCAGATGGAGAGTCCAGAAAAAAAGGAAGTGAACGATGGAGAAAAAGGTGAGTGAGACAAATAAAATAAAGATATTTAAATTGGCAGTGGTAATAAAGAAGGAATGGAGAAGAAATGTGAAAAAATAAAATGGAAAACTGCAACACTTAAAAATGCATTCATTGAACAAGAAGTGGACTTGTTGAGTGTATTTTAAAACTTGACGATAAACAAGTGAAAGCTTGAAAGTCAACAGTTAAAAAAAAAATCCATTCACATAGAAAGATAAAGCATAGACAGCACCTAGGTGGCATTAAGAGATGCATCAAGCAAAGAAATTGTTAAAGGAGACAGAAGAATAAAATTATTCAAATTAAGAAACTGCAACTATTGTACTAAAGACAGGGCAGAGGCAATAAACTGATGACTGCACTTATGCTGGACAACATAAATCCTAACATCTCAGAATACCACCAAACCCTACCTTGCAAATGCTTGGTGTAGTTGTTTTATGCTCAATTTAGTAGCACTACTTGAATAAAAAACATAAATTAACTGTTTGCAGGATCAGATTTGAGACTTTTCACATTCCTGGCAACAATCTAAATGGCTGCAAAGTTCAAGTGGCTCATAACCAATGCATTCCAATCTAAAACATACAGCTGCTTGGCACAACACTATTCTGCTACTGAATTTGATGACCGTAGTTATCAAACATTAAGAATGGGGTCATGTCTCTTAATATCTTTATAAATGATCTTTAGCGTTCCTCAAAAGGCTGCTGAAACTTTCCTTCCTCCTCCCCCATCATCAAACAATCCACCAAATCAGTTCTGTTATTGGATAAAAATCAAGCAAGTCTGAGAAACTTTTAGGAGTGACATTAAGCACTATGGTAAAAAACCCAACAAAACAAAGTGTGATATGCTAGGTCTTCATGCTAATGTTGCTTCTTAATCATCACGCTACAAAAATCTCCTTAAAGTCTACTGTATCATTGTTTACAAGACAGAAAGATGTTATAATTCATTACATAAATATATACTATACAATGTACATATAAAAGTTCTAACTTTTATGCTTTAAACTCAAAACACTAAGACTTAAAACTTGTATTTCATACTTTCCCTTTAGTACTTTGCCATAAGAAATATTATATCTGACTTTCACCTATATCCACTCTTTATTGAAGAGTAATCATTAGGAAATTTAAGATCTTATAATAATTTTATTGTAAATAATAGCAAAGTAAGTTTAGTATGTTTCAAATTTAAAGTGCCAAGACATTAAGAGAATTTTCCATTAAAATTCATTCAGTTTTAAATAGAAATCAGATATGAATATTTGCAAAGGATACCATCACTTCTTCTTGATCACAAACACAAAAACACAACTCCCTTCTCTGCCTCCCCCCTCCCCCCGCCCCCCCGGTGTCATTATCTAAAGAAAAATTTGAAAGCAATTTTCTTCAAATTCCAGGTAACATTACACCAGTCTAAGTTAACTACTGTTTCGCAAGTCATTACCATTAAAAAGATTTATATATCTTAAAGTAACCCCTACCGTCAAATTGATCTTCTCCCTCTGTCATCAGTTCATCATCAGAGCAAATGCTCAAAACATTCACCAACATTTCTGTTACTGTATAGGAAAAAATAAATCTTAATACAATCCCTGTAGAATTTAAAATTTTTCCACACACACAAGATACAACTAGTCACCAGCAACTATAGTGAATGAACTTCCCACATCATAGCCACTGCTCAATAATCTGGTTTCAAAAATATGTGCTTTTCTTGATGTGCACTGTCACAGAATCCTAAAAGCTCAGAAAAATAAGCAGTTAAAAATTATACACCCTAACAATCAAAGAACATAGCAAAGCTTTCTCTTCTATCTTACAAGGAGTTCTTTTAGATAAAAATTCTCCTCTTGCATGCTAGTGTTTCTACATTAGGGTAAGTACTTGAACTAGATTTTATGCAAAATTAACTTAAATATGAAAACATTTTGACTGCTCAAGTTTAGGTTTAAAATGAGAAAGCTGTTCCATTCCTGGCACCTGAAGGCATGTAGCAGAAACACCAAGGCAGAAAAATATTATTATATAAATATGGTGCAAACTACATGTCTTTTCAAAAGCCCCTTAAAAATATCGACATATTGGATACACAAACTTGTCTCAAAAAGCTTCTATTTTCTTTCTCCAGGAACCTCCCTGTTCTGCCACTCAACTTTTCCCAAGTATATATCAGACTCTTTCTTAAAACAGTCAAATTTCTCCTCCCCCTAGAGTGTTCAGAAACTTATTCCAGAAGTTTAGTCAGATGGTTAAAAACGCTATAAATTGCTGTCAACTAATTCATACAATCCCTGTGTTATCTGCTATGGTATTCTTCTCCATTCTTGGAAAAGAGTTACTCTCTCCTTTAACGAAAAAAAATAAACAAGTTATACTGATTTTGATCTGTTCAACACAGATCAGACAATATCGATACTGTATCTTTCACCAAAAATGGAAGCATGTATTTGTCCAAAGGCAAGACAAACTACAAGGGCCACGATTCCAGCAATCTTAAGTATATAATGGGTCAATGAGCAACTTATTTAACAGTACTTGGGTGTCTCACTACCAGCATCATAACAAAAGCAAACCAAACTGTATTAACCTTTTGCTGTTGAAAATGTTATCTACTGCATCATCAGGTAAGAGAGATATAAACAAAAAATCTCCTTTCAAATGTCAGGTCCCTTTGTTTAAAAAAAAAAAAAAAATGTTGAGTGGGTTAACCACACTTTTTAGTGTCCACATCATTTACGTTTAACTACTCGCTAAAGACAATATAAACAAATCTAGAATCCTAGGTTTATATGACTAAATATATCATCTCAAGAATACTTTTCAAAGAAATTTAAAGAGCTTTTCAGACCTGTTTTACAAAAAGAGCAGTTCTTGTCACGGAAGGATTTTAAACAGGCTCATTGCTTTTTAACTGAAAACTACTTGGAGCCCCAGTGTCCTAAATTCAGAGTTATCAGCTCGGGGCGGGGGGGGGCAGAAAAAAAGAGGATCTGTGCTAAATTATCTTTTTACAAGAAAAATTATAACTGAAAAAGTTGTCCTTAATGAAGGTCAATTTGTTATAACCACATAGAAAAGTTAAAATTTTACATTAACATCTCAATATAGTTTATACATATAATTATACAATATTAATAATCTATATAACCTAGTATTTTGTAGAATATGAATAATTTTCATATTGACTTCAGATGCGGTTCAGAGGTACTACTTAACAATGTAGGTTTACACCCTCAATGGAAATTACTATTTCTGTTAACACCTCTGGTTTATTAGATGTAGTTTGAACTAACTTCACTAAAACTGGTGAAGAGAACAATCAAAACCTGTAGAACAAGTTGTATTTCAGTCTACCCTTTCTCAGAAATGGTTTTTTTCACACGCCAAAACCCCTCTCCAAATCAGTTTAACAACTTCACCAAATCTTCTACCTGATAAAGACAAATACAGATACCCAGTTTCATAAAAATGATGCAATTCATCTCCATTGGTAAATAAATTAAAAAAAAAAATCTTCCCAACATCAATCTGGGAGAAATAGGGAAGATATTAATTGATGTGTAACTTTTGCCTACCTTTTTCTCCAACAAATGGCAAAGACCATGTGAAAACATCCATAAAATTTGGTAGCCAGTAAGGATGAGGAGAACAATTGAACTGACGAATATTCATCACATTGTTTTCATATTTTAATACAGCAGCTAAAATAAAATTCAGACATTTTGAAAAGAATGTTTAAAGCTTGCGAGTACCACAAATGTAAAGTCATAGGTTTGTTTTAGCTCTGTTTTACACTATAGACAAAATAATCCCAGACGTACTCCATTCTCTTTCTTTCACAGGATTTACAGGACAGATTTCTCATGGAGAACTTTGGATTTTTATTGCACATATTGCAGTTTAAGGTACTGTTACATGTCAATAAAGTTCTTTGCTATCCTATTATAGGTCTATAACAAATGAAGATTTTAAAAGGTCCTGAAAAGGTATTAATTTCAGCAACTTTAACAAAATCCTAACTCACAACAGCAGTATATCCAGATTCAGGTTCTATTCTTCGTATGTGCCTTTCCACATTGTAAGCCTAGAGTAAACCCACAGAAATCTAAAAGATCAGGGAGAAGGGGAAGCACAGAGAAACAAAACAGAAAACCAGAAGCATTCTAAAGCTAAATAAGCATCGATTCCAGTTTTCCATACTTACGCTTGCATTACACTGGGAATAGCTAATGTGAAAAAGGCTTTTAAAAACACAATATCCACAGAGGTGGTGAAAAAATGTAAGAAGCCAGTTGAAGCTATTTGTATTTCTGCTTTACTTTACAATCAGTGCAGGTTAACAACACCTCCTTTTCCTCTATACAGTTAATCGCCTGGCATAAGTGGTATGGGTTGGGGGGGTGGTTGTTTGGAGGTGGGTGGGAGAAAAGGCTATGTATTTCATAGAAAAGAGGTACTGGTTTCAAAGGCAGACTGTTTGAATATTTGGAGATCATTCATTCACCACATACTTGAAATTCCATGCTTTAATGTCATACTTGAATTTCAGCAGGCTTTATTTTTCATTATTTGTTTCTGAACTTTGTTCTTATCTATGAATAATATTAATTCATAGCTAAGCTCTTCTCTGTAATTCTGACTTGTAAATCTTTCTCCACACTATTAAGCATGCTTCTCCTGTGCACCTTTGTCTTAAGCAGAGGATGGACAAAAATTAATTCCTTTTATTTTACAACTCCCTAATAACATTTCCAATGGTGATCAGTATTTAGATCCGTACTTGCTCTTTCTTGGTTTCCCCTACACAGACGTTACGGCCCTGTACCATCACAATTAGGCTCTCAGGTGCCATGATACATAGCACAAACTACCTTATGCACAGGCTGCCGATCAATGCTTCCTCCCTTCCTTACTTAGTTCACAAGCCAAAGACAATTGGAGCAGTGAAAACTCACAGCACAGAAAAGCTTTGCCTGACTGGAAAACACCAGGTGACACATTCGTAAGTACTAAATAGCAACAATTTTTACAAAGGACATGTTTGCCCACACTTGTGCTTCAAGGTGCTCTTATAGGAGATTGTCATTTATGTCAAGTGCTTTTCTTCATAACAGAACTTTTATTAATGGATTTTTTTTGTCCTTTAATTTCTTACCTGGCAAAAATTCGTTGATATTAGATGACATCTCTAGTAAGACATTTTTATTTTTAGTATTACATACAATTACTAATAACAAGTTCTTACCTTTATTATTGTAGACATCCAGGTAATTAGGTGCTGAAAAAATTGTTATTAATGATGGGAACCCTGTAGTTTGACTTTTCCTGTACATTCTATAACTGCAAAACCAAACAGATTATTTTACATCTTATGGCAATAAGCAATTAATTTTTATTTTACACTGTGAATAATTTCTTGAAGGACACAAAGTACTTACCCTGCATCTTGTGCTTCATGTGCTCTAATGATTGACAATAAATTATTATTTTGCAAAAACTCACAAACTGCTGGATAGCTGTGAAATGAAAACAACTATGAGTAAAAGAAATGATCTTAAAATATGCAGCAAGACTCAGCATTAAAACATCAAATAGATCATAGCACATTCTCACCTATAAAAGTATGAGCATCCTCTGACTGTATTGTGACTGAAATGCTCTTGTGAATTTTCATTTCCAAAATCTTCTGATGGGTCTGACCACAATAAGTCACACATTGGTCCAAATGCTGGAGGCTCCTTGAATCTATCTAACTGTTTGAGAAAAGGCAACAGCACAAAGACTCTTTGAACATGAAATCAGTACATTTTACACGTTTGTTAAACTAAATATCCATCAATACCAAGTGGTTTTAGAATAAATCCCAACCATATCAAAGGGAAGCAGTTTCTGTATATTTTTTCCTCTCCTCCTCATGAAATAAGGCAGAAGCATGCCAAAAGAACCAAACCTGTTAAGAGCAATAAGATTTATTAGTTGTAAAAAGAAGGGAGATAAATTCCAGACTGATGGATATGTGTCATACAAGGTCAAGTTACAGGCAAGGAACAAAATGGTCCTTTTTCATGCACATGCCATATCTACCAATCTGGAGACACTACCAGGAATTAGCAAAGAGAAACAGTACAGAAAACAGGAATGATAAAAGAAAAGCATGAATAAATAGCACTGACTAGAACAGACTAAATATATCATCAAAAACCCCCAAACCCCCATACCACCCAACCAAAAAAACCCCCTGAAACGCCCGTCTATACAGGCTTTATTTCTCAGCTATAGCCCTGGTGTAATGGGGCCATAAGCACTTTGGGAGACGACTTCTTTTCTCTAGATGCTTCTTTACAGATTTCCACTTGGAAACACCTGCTTTAGCAGCCTGCAACTTTCCTAATTACCACAGTGAAAAGGGGCAGAGGTAAGGAGGACAGCGCATTTGTTAATGTAAAAGGGAAATACCCTGCTTAAGTAATTAACAGTCAATCTTTCATGTCCCAGAAATGAAATTAGATATCCCAGATTCAATGTAAAGTTTGATCTTTATGTAGCTGGAGTTTGTTCACAAGATGATTTTATCCAAGAAATGTAGGAACAGTTCTTTGATGGACAGTGCATTTATCTCACTTTACCTCCCATACCAAAGAAGATGACTTTGATGGTACTAGAGAACACTTAACTCTTCAAGACAGGTTCGAAGGGAGGTTTGGTGAGCACCTGGTGAATTTGAGTCTAACGGTCCATAGGAATCCATTCAAATATGGAACCAGCAGTAGTGCCAAGCTCTCTCATGCCCTGGAAAATCAGAGCTCCCGAGGCTGCCACCTGTAACATAAGTGGAGAGGTCCAGATCTTTACAAATTCCTGCCAGATAATGGCAAGGCAGGTATTAACTGAAATTGTTGTTGGATTTTATTCAATATTAAAAATCCAGTGGTTTAACATTTCCCGCACTGGATAATAAACCCGGTATGGAATAAGTCTTCCAGATTGAAGAAGTCAGTCCATCAACTTCTGCAAGTACCTGAATTTCTGTAGATTAAACCATCAAGTTTCTAAACCTCCAGCAATAAATTTGGGTCCAGAAGCTAACAGAAGCTTTCACACAAGGAAGATTCAACCATTTGCCGATTGATGTTTCCTGCAATACAGAAGGCTGAAAGTCTAGCAAGCATTTCTAAGAAATTTTCTTGAGTTATTCTTCAAGGATCTTCCTTATGACTTTGGCCAAATGGATAGAGGCTTTATAAATAAAAAGTTTTGGTTGCCACAAGCAATGTACTTCTCTCCCAAACTACTTTCTCATAGCATTGGAACAGTAATGTAGCCATTTCTTGAAGTAAGAAGGTGAGTTTGTAAAAAATAAATATACTTACATAAACACCAAATCAATGCCTCCTTCACTAGACAGTCTACCAACTGGCATGGTTCTCAAGACATCTCAAAATTTAAGGAAATGTCACTGCAAGCTACTCAAGCCAGATTGCACGTATCAAATCAGAATAATCAATTTAAGGGTTTCTCTATGCATCAGGACAGCAAGAAAGTTAACAAAGGACATGAGTCAATTCAAAACACTTGTTACTGATTAACTACTTCTGAATACGTTGTGACTATGGCAAAACAGAATCTCAATACAAATTGGCTTAACATATTTCTAAATATGATTCAGGTAACTGAGAAAGACAATGTAATTCAAGAGTAAGAATCACTACACCTGGTGTTAAAACAGAAACAGGTAGTATATTTTTTAATACATACCATAAGATATTTAAATGTAAATTAATTTCTAGGTATTATGCAGTCAGTGCTACTAAACTGAAGTGCATCATACCTCCACATGGATGTTCAAATTCAGGAGTAGCAAAACCTTGGAGGTAGATTAAGGTATGGCAAATTAAAACTACTTTACTTTTGAGGCAGAAGACCTTCATACACTTGAAGATACAGACACCAGTTTTAATTAATCTGTCCTACTTTTCCTGAGAAATATCACACAGTAAAGCCTAAAACCAATGTGAAGGCTAGGGAAGATGAAATATACTACTAAAGAAAAGGAAATTTCAGCAGACCACAGAAAGGAAGCAAGGTATTATAAAGACAGATTCCCAGCAGTGCCCCCATGTATTTCAAGGCACTTTGCTTATGAAGCCTTAGTATCACCAAGAACTAAACAAAAGAATGGCCATCTGTTGTAAATGAGGAAGAAAATTCTCTGTCTCTCTCCTTTAATGTAACTGAAGTCCCCATAACCCTATAGGGACACTTCTCTCATTATAAATCACTAGGCTTAAAATCGCAATTCCCAGAATTTTGTTTCAGCAGAAGTCTTGGCACTGGAGATGAAATCAACTAAACAGCATCCCTAAGTTGACAGACATGTGTCTGAAAGAAACACTCTTTACCAACACAATCAGAACATTTGCACAAATGAAGTTCAGAGAATAAAAATCAGATTACTGCAAACTTCAAAACTTCCATCTTCCCAGAAATAAGAAGCACTTGCACCAATCCTTCTGGTTAAGCTTTACTGTCATAGCTACTATGATAGCTGTCCTATACTGGAAATAAGTTTATGCCAGCAGAAATAACAATTTAATTTCTGTAGTTTAATCACCTTCCTGAATGTCAATAATACTGACAAAAGACTTCATCCAGAAGAAATTGCATCTGCACAGAATTTTTCTTTTTTTCTTAGGTGATTCCTGCACTGTTTATAGAGCTGTGATTTCCCTTCTTACACCAGATGATTATACCTATACTCTTGCACAGAAGACCTCTCTTTAGTAAGATCTTTTGCTAATAAACCAGAAGGCTTGTAAGATTATACAATTGTCTCGACTGTTTACAGAAGTCATTTCACACACCACACTTGGACCACAAGTATACGTATTTTCCTAGATATAAAAAGAGCATTTCACATCAGCCATTTACTTTAAATAAATTTACAGTATCAGTGTATGCCAAGATCTAATGCAGCTATTGAAGCTGCTGCCAACCCATGAATAGTGCCTTTTCCAAGTTACCAGATGATTCTTTAAAAACCAAAAAAGGCCCAAAGAACTTTTCTAATAACACTGACTTACATTTATGAATGTGGTTTTCATCAGAAGCAATACATATTGCAGATTTTCATATATATATATATATATATAAACATAAAAGCTTGTATTTCATCCTAATGTAGCCTTGAGCGTTACAGAAGCATGTATGAAAGTACAGGCCACGATGACAGAATTACCTTTTAATTAAATTTACTTGACACTTTGAAACCTAATTAGCTGCAAGACTGAGACTAAAAGAAAAATGTATCACAATCATGACAGTGGTTTTCCAAAGTATTTTTCCAGACTATGTTTCCTTTACACTTTCCAAAAAGCTTTGACCATGTTTCATTTCATCTGTAATGTGAGAAGCATTAAGGCCTTGTCAGAATGGCACCGTTTAGTCACTTTGCTTTCTTACTTCTCTTTCTCTGCACAATGCATACAGATTTCTGTGCACATTAGTATTTGCTCCAAAAATGCAGTGTGCCTCAGTACATTTTCCCACTAACACCACTGAGCTCATAAATATGCTTCCTTTCTGTTTCTACCATTTTCTTCTGCTCTCACATCATTCTGCTTGGCAGTGCAATATCTGTAATGGAAATAAGCTGACATTCTAGCCTCTGAAATGGTCCAGTCAGTACGAAAAAAAATCTGGTGAATTCAGAAATGAGATTCAACTGGACAGCAGCCTATAAATCTGAGAAGAGGCAGAGGTAAAAAAGAAAAATGGAGCACAAGTAAAGGAGAAAATGCTAAGAAAATAAGAAATACAATAAATGAAGATAAAAGACAAAATGGGACATCAATATTTATATACTATAAAACCAAATTAGGAAAATACTTTTTCCTTCTCTCTGATACTGAGATCTTTTTTGAAATAGGCTCCCACATACCTTCTTCCATATGCGGATAAACAACTTTTTTTCTTCAATCCTTACCCATAATCCCAAAGTTTTCTTAGAACCACCTGTTAATATTTTAGGCCAAAATCAACTACACTTTAGCTGTTACTAATCATAACAGGAATGGTTTTGATTTCCAAATGCAGCAGTCAAGATGTCAGCTAAGTTAACTAAAGTAAAAAAGGAGTATGCAAAAAGAAAAGCAACTGAATTTGAAAATTCCCATCTGATACAATCTTCACCTGACATCAGCAGTCCATGCAAGTTGAAAATGAGTTATTAGAAACAATACCTCATGTCATCACAATCTTCTTCCCTTTAAATTGCACACCACAATTTACTGTTTCCATTCTATAATTTCTAAAACTTGTTTTCATTCTTCTTACTGATATACTCAGCATATTTAACACAGTGAGAAGCACTCCATAGCTGTTACTCAACTGCCTACCAAATTTGCCATTTAATAATCAAGAGAGTAACAAAAAAAGGTTTCAAAGAAATATAAGAGTAACTGAAATACGAAACAATTTTAGGGCTAGAATTAACTTCTACAAATTTTGTCCTGAAAGCCTTGAGAATGCCAGCTCTTACCTAGAAAGAAATACAAAGTGCTATTTCGATTGGATATGAAGCTCTTTACATGTGCAACCCGTCTCAGGAAACTATGTGGAGTTTTTATGGGGGTTTTTTGTGTGTGTTTTGTTACAGTCGCAGCTGTCCCAATGAGATCTACTAATGGAAAATGCACTAGATAATCCAAGAGTTTTTAATTATGACACTGCTTAGCCTACATTTCAGTTCCCGATTTACACTTCCAAGAGACAAGAACAGAAAAGAATATACTGACAATTTCACAAACAGGACTTTGTGTAGCATCATATAAATATCTCTATTTCCACTTATTTTCAAATACACAAAATACTCACTCTCCTAATGTCATCTAGTGTATTAATTTCTGGTGAAAGTCCACCATGAACACAAAGAAACTGTTGATTTAAAAGAGCAGCAAGAGGGAGACAATCAAAAGCTTCCATACAAGCATCGTAGACTCTCTCTGAGTACTTTATTTTACCTGCAGGAAAGAAAATATAAAACATTACAAAATCCATATCAAATGGAAGAAATAATTTAGTGGATCATAATTATAAGAGCAAACCTCAAACTGAATGCTTAAAAAAACCCCAAAGCAATGAATTTTATTGGGTTTAAACAAGTGTTTCCAAACACCACAACAAGAAGCACATTTCTAAGACATGCTCTCTTCCAGAACTAGAAACTTTTTTCATTTCTTCTTCTGTTATCTCAAGTGTGGAGAAACTGGTTTTTTTTTTAAAAAAAATCACAGAATTGCTTTGTGTTATACAATTATACAGCATACGTCAGTGTAAAACACTACTGAGAAGTTCGTGATTTCTCATTTACAGTGAAAAGCTAAGAACTGCTTATAGATTACATCACTTTTAACTACATCAAAGAGGGTGCTACCAGGGCAAATGATCCATTTATCACTGGATCAATACTTACACAGGCCTCCAAATGGAGGAACAGCTTGCTGACATCTCCGAAAGTGTTATCTTACTAGTAGAGTTGAAATCAATTCCCCAAATGAAAAAAAATTACTGAGCAGTAGGGTTTTCTTGCTAGCTTCACAATGCTACTCAGCAAGTTACTTTGCACTCCCAATTACAGCCAAGAGAGCAAAATAACCTTCCTCTCCCCAGGTTCTTAAAATCAGGATTGATACATCAAAATTTACTCCATAATGTATCTTTACAGACAGCAGTCTTCTACATAACTTGCACTCCAACGCCATGCTTAACTGCAAACAATTCTACAGAAGTCAATGGGGCCTCCAAATGTTTGCAAGACCTTAATTAAACTAACAGACAAACATCTCTCAAGCAAATTGACAGTCCAAACATCAGCAGGTTGGAAGTAAGCTAATTTTATGTTCTTAGACAGTACTTACATTCTTGCTTAAAGGTAAAATACTCTGTTAGGTGTCTGCATTCATGGTTGCCTCTCAAAAGAAATAACGTGCTTGGGTAGAGAATTTTCAGGACCCATAAGTACAGCACACACTGTTGAAAAACAAAGATATCCAGTAAAATACAGTAGTTTTTAAGAATTTTAAAAATTATTACTGAGAAACACTGAGTAAGAATATTAACAGCTTCAAAAGCAAGTACAGCTTAATGTGACATTTTAAAATACAGGACTACTTCCCCGAGTCCAGTTCTGGACAGGAGTTATGCAAATTGCTTATTACTTTTCTTAAGAACAGCTTCACAGAATGCTGAAAAAATATTTATATTTACTGGACACTCAATAATAAAATAAACTCAGCAGAATTATACTGCAGAACACTTTCATCTAGACAAATAATTTACGTGTTTGTGCCTAAAATCTGCTTTTATAATAGGATTCTAAACACTGGCATAAGAAGTAAAGCAGACATCTGTTAATAGAGATTGAAGACAAAAACCCCACAGAACAATTTACATTAAAGTCAGGTATATCATTTGGAGACCGTTTTTAAACTAAGAATGGACAGAGTAAACTTTTTTTTCCCCCAAACTGGGAAAGCTGGTTCAGTGTTCAAGCAGCAAACTCAAAAAATTATAGGAAGTTAAGTTTCCATATATCATTATTATTGCAACATCAGCAGTGAACAGAGTTGAGGGCAGAGCTACAGAACATGCACATTTTTTTCAGTTTAGGGCCTGTTACCACCCAGCAATCCTGACTGTGCAAAATGTATTTCTTAAACTTCAAATCTTATTCTTGTATTTTTAACCGAGCACAAAAACCTCAAAACCCCAGAAGTTTTAGTCTACACTGAAGTCACCTGCAAATTGTTATTATTATTGTTCTTCATCAATACAAGTACCCTGAAGCTATCATTCTTCAAAGTTATTTTGCAGAGAATAGTAAGTACATGAAAGAAGAAAGAAAACAAAAGTAAAAACCACAGCAAACATGGAGAAATACATCAAAGACTTTTGTGAAGAAGACTATTGTGAAGTTTAGCTAAAATAATTCCTGAATTTTTCTTCTTAGTAAAAATATGCAAAATAGTAAATTTTATAATGATACCACCTGCTTTCCAATGTTTCTATAACTCTAAAATATCCTGATATATTGCAAAGTCACCAGACCTTAAAACTGTTTCCCAGCAGAGAGCATAATCAGTTTCTTACAAAACAACTGCTTATCATCAAATGAACACATGAATTAATTTGGCAAATTCTACAATTGTGAACTGTTTTAGTTAAGTCGGTTTGTATAAAAAATGTATAAAAGCTGGAAACCTTGAAAACATTTAATAGAAAAGTGGCAAAATAGTGCTTTCCTTTCAGTGGATACTACATTTGATTAAAATGCTGAGATTTACACATTCTCAAGCATGTTACCTACTAAATACAAAAAGAATTTTTTTTTTAACCTTTCCTGTACTGGCATATTTATTTTTTATTATTATTAAATACAGACAGACTAATGTCAGAGTTCTCTGTGTCCTGTTACCTCCAGCATAGAAAAGAAGAATTTGCACACACTTATGTGAAGGACTCCATCTTGATCCCAGCAGTTTGTTATATACAATCACGGTAGCACGTAATTATCTTTTCTATTAGAAGTGATGACATTTTTTAATTGGAAATGGGTTACTACTAAAATATCAATGCAATTAAAGATGTTTCAGGACAGACTGACTAAGAATTTATTAGTGAAAAAATCAAATTTCACTGTTTGTACATTTTTAGAAAATTTCACCTTCACTTTTCTGTGAAAAGTCAACTATTTTACCAAAAGTATATTACATTTCCAATTACTAAGAAAGATTTTAAAGTAACCATATATGAACATTCCTGGAGGTCAACTTAAACTTCCTAAATATTAATTAAGGCAAAAACTTAAGTAGGAATTTTTTTTAAGGTTGAAGTAGAGAACAAATGGCTGATTTTCATGTACTACTATTTTCTTTCTCAACAGGATCACAAGACATAGCCCCATCTTTGTGCATTTGCAGCAATGCAACTTCATTCAGATAATCTGCCATGTACTTTACTGATTTTCCAACAGCCACTCAGAGCAGAAGAGAGCAGATTATCTCAATGAAGACAGACAAGACTTTTAAGAACCCTGGACTGGTTTTCAAGAGTATATTTAGCATATCTTTACATATTTCACAAGTACATTTAGTATGCCAAATATTATATTAAAAATTAAATTAAAATCATATGAGGAAAAAAATTGAGCCTGTTCTTATTAATATATTCAAGAACATCCATTGTTCACAAGTTTTTTGTAAGTATAATGGTTGAAAAGCTTTCATACCATGTTTCAATATATTAACATACATTGTTGCTACGTAAATGTCCTTTTCAAGGAGAGTTACATTATTTGTTATCATCAAGAACAGGCCAAGATGATTAGATTAATAAATAGGGAATGCCTGTTGAAATTTTTCCATATAAATTACTTTGAGGCCATCACTTTTGCTGTATTTCCTGTTTGTCCACCATCCCTAACAACCCCAAAAGGCATTGTGCATGCCCTTCACAGTATATACCTCCACACGTTATTAGAACAGCATAATTTTAATATAGAAATGAAGTATCACACACCATGACTTGCAAAATACTATTTCAAATGGTATGCCACTCTATGAAGAGATCCCAAGCTGAGGCACTTCCCAAGCTGGCTCCAGAAGAACAGTTAACTTAAAAATCATAGCTCTGAAACTAATTGATGTGAATAAGTGAATATTTCTGGAAGGTAACATACTGTTTATTAACATGCTGAAAATTAAAAAATTATTTGTATTCAAAATACCTGGAAAATTAACGGGAGAAACACAGGTCATCCTTAGGGAATATTTGTAATCGCCCTCAGAATTTTAGTACAGAAAAACATTAACAATTATTAAAAAAAAGTTGATTGCATAAGTAAAATGAATCTACTTTATACAGATAAACAGCTATAATAAAAGACCTTGCAGTCATGACTCACCTGTTCTCCAAAACCAGAAAAATACACCTTCCTGCATATTACCAGAGAAGCAGGATTATGTATAATAATGCTATAGAAATCAACTTTTTAAAAACTAACTAAAGAAAGGGGAGGAAAAATGAGTAAGTCCGGTGATTTCAACAGGACAGTCCAAACAGCTGGTCGATATCCTCCTGTAAGCAGGCCTTTGTCATAGAAGAAAGCACAGCAAGGAAGAACACATTCGCATGTTAAAGCAGACCTAAAATTTCATTTGAAAACCTCCATGAAAGTGTGCTTATAGAAAAATTTAGGACAAAACAGATTAATATATTCAGTTACCTCTATACTAAAATAACCTCTGTCTACATAGTCACCGAGGAAGAGGTATCTTGTGTTAGCAGGTGATCCTCCCACTTCAAACAGCTTCATTAGATCAAAGAACTGGCCATGAATATCACCACACACTGCAAGCAAAAATTTTGTTCAAATTAATTTAAAAAAAATCTAACAGAAAAGTTACTAAGTTATAGTTAAGCAAACAGCCACAAAGTACTTCTAATTAAGAGGAAAGGCAGGTATAAAGCAGGAATAACAGAAATTTTGGAAGCTTCCCCCTTTGCTTTTCATTAAGATGCTGTCCTCACTACCATTAACAACACTGATGATAGCCCTATTTGAGTCTAGCAGACTGTGGAGTATTTTTCAAACACAGTTAATGCACCGAGCATTGAGGTCTTGAAAGCTGTCAGCAGCTCTTTACTGTCCTCCCCAACCCCTTAGGCATCTTTGCAAATTCTCCTTGGTATGCATATTTGAAAATGACTGCTGCTTTGCAACAATTTCCTGCGTCCATGTGGGATTGAAAAAAGCAGGGAGTATGCTTTTGTTTCTGAGTCAGACTAACATACCTTTTAATATCATCATATCTTCTCTTTGATCAGTTACTTTTCTCCTTCAAAAAACCATGTTCACTATTTCAACAGTGGATTTTTCTTGTGTTTTTAGAATATGAGACAGGACAAGACCACTGGTCAGCAACCTAAGGCAGAAGTGCCAAAGATAGCAGATGGGAAGACTTTGAAGAGCATACAGCAAAGCCAGGTCATTGCACAATTTAAAAAAAAAAAATTTAAAATGTATGGAAGAGACAACTGCTCCTAACTCCTCATTCCCACAGGAGTTCCCAGCTCAATGGAAGTCAGGAGCTCCCTTCTCACTTCTGCATGAGGTATTGCTGATAAGAATTCACAGGAATTCGAGAGACTACGCCTTCCATTGATGCAAAATGTCACTGATCAACTGACAAACAGCATCTTCCTCAGTTTATCAGTAAATATTTTTTTGGGGGAAAAAAGTTGTTCTAATTTTGGAAAGAAATGTTGGATACGGCATGCCACACTTTAAAGGTTGTTACTCTCTTGGAGCAGACCATTTGTCTTCATGACCTACAAAATATTAGACTAAACAGAACGTGTCCTCTTTTATGCCACTTTTCTTAAGACTTCTACTCAAACACTGCAAGAATGTTCCTTCTTTTTCAGCTGCCAATGTACCAGTATTTCTGGGTAACTACCTGAATAAACAGAAATATAAAAATTCTAAACATATGGACAGCACTGTAATTTTGAGCTTTATCTGGAGTTTCAAAAGACTCTGAGTTTAGACAGTCACTCAGTGGTTTCCACCATTTCAATCATTCATTTTTTTTAAAAAAATGTCAATAATAATCATGTACTGCTTAAATGTTTTCATTTACCCGATTCTAACAAATTAAAGCAAGCTGATGCCCTAAAAGAAGCTTTTCAGACACTAATTTTATGTAGGTCCATTTAGAAGAAAACACATTCAATGAAAGAAAATCTGATTTGAACACAAAAATCAAATCTACTTTCATTTTCACAAATAACTGATATGCAATGTCAACTATTTTCTATGAGTCTGGATTGTTTATGAATAAAAGTACTAAAGGACATCAGTTCTACCTTTCACCAGGTCAAACAGAAATAGAACTTGTTAAACCATGAAAATACTCCAAAAAACCCCTGAGAGTCCACAGGGAATTTGGTCCTGGTGCATTAGAGATACTAAAACAATCTTTCAACACTTTCCAGTACTACTGCCCCAACAAGAACACGGTTTTACATACAATTGTCAGTCTCACCTACAGAGGAACTATAAAGGTGTATTTTTCATTCAGAATTCTAGTTCACAGTATTTGCTTCAAACTACAGCAATTAGTTTCTCTTCACATATTTAGATTTCAGGATAATTCTGAGTTCATTTTTCTATTCCAGTTAGATATCTTAATTTCCACTTACAACATCGCAGGCATCAGCATTTAACCACTTTCTGTTTTGCCATTTTAATATCAATCATACTATTTTTTTCCATTAGGTTTAATGCTTTCATTTTTCAAAATAACGTATAGCATATTTTTTCAGACCATTTCAATACTGTTAAGGAAAAGCAGTTGTGAGGGATAATTCAATAAGATTATACAAAAACTTTATTTTAGCAATTTTTAAGACAAAATCTACTGCTGAAAAAATCTGGCTTTTTTCAAATTTAATTATGAGTGACATTATTTATAAATATTACCTGTAATTGGAGCTTCAACTTCTATCATAGTTTTTTCCCTCCGTAATATTGTAGCACCTTCATTGATGATTCTAAGTGCAATTTCTTCATCCACTCGGCCTTCTTTTATCAAGTGGTTCTTCAAAATGTCAACCCGTGGTCTTCCATCTGTGTCAAACACTTCTTCAGACGTCAAGCGATGTGTTGGTGGAAAAGGGACAGCTAAAATTTAAGAAGAAGAAACAGTAGTCACAATAATGCAGTTTTAAAAATACACTCCATCTCGGATTAGATCATGGAATAGCTGCTATCCAAAGTAGCCCATTTGTCTTTCCATCAACTTGATGACATCATTAAAAACTCAATGGAATAGTGCTATCTACCTATGTATTTAAAAAATTAACATCTATAATGTGCAAATTTGTAGAAACTATAGAACTGTGTTAGAAGGCACAATAATGTGCACAACATTTGGAAGAGTCAAAACTGCCTTTGCAAAGGGACATAATCTCTCTCCAATATACTGTCATTCTCTGAAGGGCTCAACAGGTACTGGGGTTACAGGAGATCCATTTAATATCCACTCAGACTTGCAAAAGGCATTTTAAAATAAGCCCATCATCAAAGACTCAAAAAACAAAAAAAACCCAACCAACCAAAAAACCCCAAACAAATCTAGCAAGAAAAGCTAGCAAGAAAAGGATACAATACTGTTTAAAGGACTATAAACAAAGGGAGGTAATAGCCAGCACCTGGAAAGGAAGAAAGTCACTGGAAGAGCCCCACTACAATCTGTGCTATTTAACAAATTCATAAATTACACTGAAAATAAGGTAATTCATGGAGTCATGCAGCCTTCAGGTGACAGTAAGTATTCCGGACAATGAAGAACAGGGCAGGCTATGCAGAGCTACAGAAGTCCATATACTAGACACAACTTTAAAAATTACTGGAACTTGTCAGAAGTCCTTGGGTCCTGGATCACAGCACAAAAGCAGCCGTATGTGGTCCATATCTCAAAGAAGTGGAGCAGATGAGAGGTCTGAGGTTGGGGACCAACCCAGGCCCAGCAAACTGCCCAGAGAGCACATGTGACGGCTGGCAGCTTACATTAATTCAAACAATGGCACCTCAGTTACTCCACAAATGAAGTATGGACGTGGGATATGGGAGAAGATGATACATCAAAACTGCCACTAAGCAGTACATCAGAGTATCATCGCACTCATGCAGGATTACAGGAAATAAAACTAATCTGAAAAGAAAAACAAACAAAAAAACCCCCCACCAAAACCCAAAACCATAGCACTATTAAAAGAATGAAGTAAAAGCTGAGCAAAATCATTCAATTTCTTTCCATTTAAATATTATTTCAAATATGTTTTAAAAGAAAAATTGGAGCAACCTATCTATTCAAAGAGAAGAATAACTGGTAGTATGAATCCGCTTGTAGATATTCACACTTTCTTACTCTCCAAAGTTAAACTTTACATTCCAAAAATCAATGATTAAATACTAAAACATTCACTGATTTCATTTAAATTGACTTCTAGATTACTAGCAACACATTGCTACCCTTCTGTTTTACGTAATAATGAAAATCTATCAATGAAACAACTGATGCATAAATCACAGGCATATATTCTCTGAAGTTAAATTATACTAGAAAATAAACTGGAGAATTGTCTATTCTTCCTCTTAGAGAAGTTTCTGAGTAGGACGAAGCTGAGAAATGTGCCTTGATCTTACACACTGCAGAACAAACTTGGCACTTTATCTTTGAACATAAAGTATTTTATTAACACAAAAGAAATGTCACACGCCTTTTCTTCTAGTCTCCTCTAGTAATGATTCAAGTTTCATTTGGAAGTGTTAAAATTCCGTGTAGTCCAAATGTTAATAAATTTAATGTACTTAAGAAGCTGAAAGACAACCACTTCTGTTCCATGCACAACAATTGTTTAAAAACATACATCTGTCTCTGAAGAGAGAAATCCATCCTTCTACCAAGATAAATCTAACTCATTTTTAGAAACACTTAATTATGACCATGAAATCATCAATTCTATCATTTACTGTTTTTTTTTTAAACTTGACTTTCCAACCTTCGTGTTCTCTTAATGTTATTTTTGCATTATTTGGAAGTTTACATTAATCTGTACAAAATTAGTTTTAGGCCATTTCTTCCCCCACTTTTTTCAACATGTCATTTGTGGGCCCACAACTGCCTTCAGTGATACAAAGTTGAGCTCATCCTTTTATGAGAGACCAGACAATTCACAAAGTAGATCTCTCCTGCTTTAATTGTTGCAAACACACTCGAGATCATACCTCCCCAGAACCAAAGTCAATCACCTCCAAGACACAGTTCCGTAGGAATTGTGCTTCATTAGTTCTAGTCTTATTCCTGGATAATGACCTACTTAAGTGAAAGATGACCCTTTTTTCTTTTTGGAGGTTTTATGGGTAGATGCAGGATGTGGTAGAGAATGGCCTGTTGAGGTGACCAGCTGTTCTCCTACATGCAAATCATTACTTACTATAACTACCAATGGCTTCAGAATTCAGAAAGATGGTGTTGAGCTCTTCCTTATGATAGTTCAGAAATATTTCAGGGGTTCTAAGCACATAGCACATGAAATTTTCCTCTCTTAGTAAAGTTCTTATGTCCATGCAATATATTTCAGATTGGATTTGCACAAAAAATAATTCTGTCTATTTTAACAAACTACAGCTTTGACTTCATCTAGCAAGTTACATTTTCTGGAAGGCTATAAAAACAGATGTTTCTGTCCAGTGTCTGGAAAGAACTGTCTCAAATTATTTGAATTAATATACCTATGAAGATTCAACTTAAAAACTGTACATCCAGAGGTTATCCATAATGTCCAAAAATCACGAGTGTTAGTATCAGAAATAGTTAAGCCTCATGAAAAAATGAAGTCTTAAAACTAGTTCCTCAAAGTTTAACAAAACGCTTTTCACACAATACTTGTATTTTCCTATTGCTCAAGAAGGATTTTTTTTTTCAGAATAATCTTCAGAGAAGGCAGAATAAAACACAGCTAAAGATTTTATCAGCATCACCCAGCTGAATAAAACAGTAACACTTACTATAAAAACTGCTTCTTTCCATTTTATACTTTAATTTTTGTCTCAACAATAGTTAATGCTATATTAGAACTTACACCTTTGAAAAGTATTACAAATAACATCTTTTAATAGGTTAAGGATGATAATTTTTGAAGCATGTAGACGATTTCTGCAAACTAATGGGTTTAATTAAACCTTTGATGAAGTAGTAATAGAATGTTATAGCCCAAGGAAAAAGAATTGCAGCATTATGTGTTCCAAGACAGAAATATAATCCATGTTTTAAAGTCTTTCTGCACAACCTGTGCTCTCAGGGCTGTAACAGAATGGTAATTAAGAGGAATTACCCTAAGGAAATAACATGGTGTTGGTCATTAAAGGATTCTCTTCTTCCATTCCCAGCAAAGGTAAGCAGCAGAAAAGCACTTAGAGATGAATCTCTAAAGCAATACACACTGCAGTACAGAATAACAGACTATATCCTATTAGTAAAAGTATAGATCTTAGAACAAAGGTAACACATCATGATTTACAATAACATACAGGATTTTCTAAAACAAACTGTTGCTTACTAGTAAAAATTAATCAATTTCACTTTTAAAATATGTATGGATAATTTTAATTACAATGATTCAAAAATTTAAACACTAATACTGGGGAGGAAAAAGTGAATAGTTCTGGGGGTTTGTTAACAAAAAGGTTTTGATGGTTTTTATTACTATTTGTTTATGCATTTACAAAGAAGAAAAAAAAAAACCTTTCCTTTATACTGCAGCACTACTTAAAACAGATATCAAAACCAAAACCTCTAAATGTAGTTCTAAACCGACTTTCTACAAGCCTCTGGGTACATTTATACCTTACAATAAAGCACGCCACAGAGATCCAAAAGTTAGCACCAATCTGAACAGGTAAATTTACAGTACATTGTAAAGTGGTTCAAAAGTAGAAAAACTACATTAGCATGGCACTTTACCCAAAACAATAATCCCTGCTGAGAGGTGCGGTATGGCAACTAACACAAACATGCTACTTCTAGACCCAAAGCAGATCTCACATTGCCTAGTAACTGAGTACAACAGTAGCTGCTAATAAAATCTTACATGTAGATGCTGCAAATTTAAACCATGCTGATACATATGCCCATTTAAATAACCTTGGTTAAATCTGGCTTGTATCAGAGACACCCAGTTGGAACAGGCTCATGAAACAAGAGGAGATCAAAGCCTCTAGTCTAATGGTAGGGAAAAGCATCAGGGATTAACCGTACAAGGCACTCTACTTCCACAAGCAAAGTATTTTCTGCTCTTAATACATTAAAACTTATACGATCCTTTCTTCTTTGACAGTGAAAGAAAATTAGCCATTTTCCCTCTACAGTCAGGAGCCCACAACGTGTCCCATGAACTCAGCTTTGGCTGTAAAAGCATATTTAAACGTCCCAGATTGCATTTTGTGTTTTAAGTGTTTTTGATTTCACAGATAAAGTCTCATCTCACATTACTAAGATTACTGAACACAGACATTGTGTTTGTAAAGAATTTGTTGCCTTGGTGGTAGGTATACATGAAACAGTATATGATGTTTGTCTCCACTAAGTGATGCCATATATCAATACAACCATGGTGTTCTGTGAAAAGACAGGCCAGCATCCTTCATTTTGTCAGCAGGTTTATCACCACGACAGCATAGTTGTCTGCAGTTTTTCTGTTGTTTGGTCAGGTTTTGTGGGCTTTTGGTTTTATAAATGTGTTGCTGTCTGTGTATTGTCACTCAGAAGAATGACAAAGCTTAATACCTAGCACATCTTTCAGTCTGTCCCTGGATTTTTCACGCCTCTGCCAACGTCTATACAGAAGAAAGAGATGTAGCACCCATGACTGCTATGAGGACAGAATATATCCAATTATCCTTCTGCATTTGGCAGAACAGATTTGAAAAGAAATAGCATAAAGACATCACAGATGGTCTATGGACCAGCAACCTTGAAAATATTAGTTAAGCACAAGTACACAGCAGCATCTACTTGAATCAGAAAGCTACAATCAATACTTGTCAAAAGATACAAGTTACCCTATTCATCCCAAACAAGAAAGCACAGATTCAGCAAAGTCAGTTTCTTGTGAATT